TTGTAGTTTACACAATCTTAAAATAAGTTTATAGTATAGTTATGTTATACTATGTTGAGACAAACCTTAATTTTATTAAAATCTTAATTTCATTAAAATCTTTATTTCATCTTCGTGTCAGTGAAATTAAGTTGCTTTTTCCATACAAAATTCAGTTATGTGATTTAAATGAAATTAAGCAAAATAGCCTTAATTTCGTTGAAAGGAAGGTTGAAATTAAGAGACATTTCAAATGCAACTATGCATAAGATAAATTTTAAGCAAAAGATAGAGTTGAGATAACGAAAAAGGGACATTTGTTTCATGTCAATGACAGTTCATTTTAATAAAACTGGGAAATTTTTTGAAAGTAGTGAATATTTTTAAATTTGAATACAGAGAAAAAACTACAACTCTTAAAATTTAAAATAAAGTGAAAATAATAAGTCACATACCTGAAATCCGCTTAGTTTAATAAAATTACTGGATGCCATCCCAGTTACAAATGGTGTTTGGGGCATGTAATTTTTAACATTCCATTTGTAAACAAAAACATTTGATTTCCTTAATTTGAGCCAATATGAACGCTTTCGAAACTAACTTAATTTCATTTTTACGAAATTAAGGAAATTCGGCTGTCTGAACATAGTATTAGTAGTTCAAGTATAATAAGTATATCGAATAATTTTTATAACTTTTTCAAGATAAATGAACTGCTGTTTCCATTGAATCTATATTCAAGTACTTCTCTTGACTCAATATTGCATTTGTTTCGCTAAAACCAATACTCAATATTCCAGTATATTTTATGTATATACTACATAAAAACTACTCTATAAAAAACTTTTACATTCCTTATAACTGACATGGGTAAAATTAAAGCTGTGCAACATATAAAATGCAAATTAAATGCAAAAAAAAGTTAGTATCTGCAATTTCTGCTGCTTAATATGTTGCGCAACTACGTGAAGGATATCCTGCATCAAAGCTGACATGCTTAAAGCATTTCTGACTGAATTTTGCATACAATGAAGTCTTTTATGCCAGTTTACGGATTTACTCTTTATGTGTAAATGCGTACTATATTTAAAACAATAATTTTATTTTTTTTGCATTAATATATTTTCACTCAAAACATATAAATCGCAACAATTGCATACAGAGTAAAAACTGAATTTCACTGCAATTTAAAACTCATTTCGTTGTTGGCACAATACACAAAAGTACGTAACCAACAAATCCTTGTTCATTCAACCAGGCAGCTTTGTACCACTGCTGCTACTGCTGCCGTAACTGCTGCAGCTTAACAGTCGCATTCTCCCATTCTTCCATTGAATACATTGCCAGCATCATATTCGTATTCCTATATATTCGCCGAGTTTCCCATAGCTATAGTCAGAGTTATGAGTTGATTTAAGGATTTTTTTCGCATATATCATGGCGTACAGGTTAAGCACGTATTTTTTGCACAAATGTAAACGATCACGTAGGAATACGTACACGTGTGGGTTAGTAGGATTTTAAGCATTTTTTATTTATTTAATTTTTCTCCCATGATGTGAGTTCAAGTATCTTCCATGGCAGTTTTTTCTGTAGCTACGACTGTTAGACATGTACACTTACAGTCAACAGTTTTCTATTGTATTATTACTATATACAAATAGATAAATTTATTTTTTATTTTATTTTGCTTCTAATATATTTTTAACATCATTGAGATGCCAAGTAAATGAATTAATTTTTGTGGACTGAATATGCCAAAGCAAAAAATTCATCAAAAAATTTGTCTGTTCAGTCGTTTAATACAGAAAATACCAAAAAAAAATGTATCGTATACCGATAAGAAGATAATGACAAATTTATTATATCGTGCTTTGCATATTAAATCTGTTCTAATTCCTATTTACATTAATTTTAATACAGTATATATGTATATTCTATCCGCTGCTATCAAATTTTATGGCTATTTGTTTTGAATACAATTTAGTATAAATGCAAAGTAATTCATATTATTTCATTACTTAATCCATTTGATATTTTGTACTTATCATTTTATTTTGTATTTAATTTTATTTTTGCTTTGGTCAGAAAATAATTGAGCATTTTATTTTTAAATGATTTATGGCATTTTAATGTTGTTGATCTAATAAATTGTTTATAATTGAATATAATCCATGGCTTAAGTGCAAATCTCATACAGAACTGGTCACAGCTGTATGAAAAGAATAATTTTTTGGTATCAAAACGCATTAAAATTTTGTTTAAATTCAAGGATAGTAAAAATTTTGTTGACAAAAATAATAAAAGTCGTTATGAATACAGAAAATTATTTCAAAACAATTACAATTTTAAACAAAATAATAGTTTTTATTGTTCTGTATATATTGTTCTATATAACATACAGTCATATAAGTATAAATTCAGAAATATAAATGTTTATTTATGCTTTGTGAATATTTTCAGATTCTACAAAAGCAATTATATGAGTAAAATAAACAAAAATTTTAAGTAAAAACTTTATTTTAGCCTAAAAGCATAACTCTAATTAAATACGGACATAGATTTATATTAGATTTTACTTTCTTTATATATATTTTACTTTCTTTGTGGGAATCAAATATTCCCACAAAATATAATTGTATAAAGTATCAAAATATCGGACATACGTTTTTTTTCATTAAATATTTCCATTTAATATATTTAAAAAAAATTAGATTCATGAATATGAATCGAAAATTAATTTACAAATACCATTTGAATTTAATTTATTTACTAATTTTTCTTTTAAGTTTTTGTTCTCCATTTTTTTGAATTTTTTCTCATTTTTTCTTTCTTTTTATTTCAATATCTGTTCTTTTTGTTTCTAATCCGCTTATTCTTTCTCTTTTTTTCTTTTTGTTATATAGAATTTCCCTTTTCCTGATATTTCACTTATGTCTCTTCTTCATTCTGTTTTTGTTTGATGTAGAAAATATAATTTGTGGCACTAAAATCCATTTATTAACATGAAAAGTGTTTATCTGAATTTTATATACAAAATATTTTTTAATTATATTTTTTTATTATATTACATATTATATTTTTTTGCATTAGAATAGTTTTTAATGGTTTATTTGTAAAATTGTGCATTTTTTCTTATTTCACGTATTTGGTGCTGTTAGCTAGCACTTTAAATTTATATTTATATACTCACAAGATAGTTTCCTTCCAGAACATCTCTGTAAAGATATATGTATTTTCAATGTAAATAGCATCTAAATAAGTAGTAAAAGTAGATTCTATAAAAAGAATTTTTTATCTTATTAGAAATTACCCAATTTAAGGTAAAATCTACAACAAATAATTTAAACCGTAAAAAACCGAAGTAGGTATTTGTAATAAAGTTATATATTGTTAAAATAGTAGACTCTTAATTGCTATATTGTTTACTTTATGTACTAAGTGACAACAGATTTTACTTAAAGTGACAGCAGAAGGTAAGACTTTCTGATAACATTTTTTTTTTGATGAACCAATATATTAAAGATGATAGTTCATTCCAAAGCGATCTAAATTGGTGAAATAATAACTTTTATATACATAAAAACCATCCAAAACTAATATTTTACTCTTAGACCATGTACCTTCTGTTCAAAAAGTAGGCACAAATTTAAATTTTATTTCAAATTTATTTTATCTCCTTCAAAATATGCTCCAT